AGTTTAAGAACAATATCCTTTTCCTTTGCAATTGTTTATAAAATACATAATACAATAAATTAAGGTAAGTAATAAGCACCCATATAATATATATATATATATATATAGACATATATATATAAATATTCTTGTTTTGCAGTGGCGCCATCTATGCCCAAAAATTCACCTTCTGACACACCCATACGTCACGCCCGTTTATAGGGCGGACCGATTCATACATCCATTCATTCATCCACTGTTCGTAATTTTGACCTGAACCAGAGAATGATCCGTCTTAAATTCAATGGCTCCAGGTATTGATTTGTTATGGGAACAAGGAGGACACCAGTCACCATTTACTACACGGGGAGTCTTCGGCAGGCTGGATTCAAACTCCTATTCTCGCAAACGTGAGTCCAGCACCCTGCCAGCCAGGCTATTCCGGTCCCACTTTTCTACTAGCATTTAAGTATTTATTTACTAGTATTTAAGCAAATTAAAGTATTTTGTCACCATATTAATGTATCCAAAAATTTTACTATGCTCCATAAGGGTTTTAGAATTCTTAAATTTAAAGTTTTATAATTTAAATAATTATTTAATTTACTTTTATGATAAGCAGACATGTACTAAAGTGTAAGGCTCTCTTTAAACTGTAGTTTTAAATTATAAATTTCAAACTTTGAATAAAATTAGTTAAATAGCTATTGACAAAGAAATTCAATCGAACTTTCGAATGTTCTTTAAGCTAAAACTTAACTGCTAGCATTTTCTGTAATAGATTGCAGTCACCCTCTTTTTTTGAGAGAGTCAAAAATTCCAATTCATCAAAGAATATACATTTATTTTAGGAAAGTACCTAATTTCGTGATTTTTAAATATCATCTCTACAAATTAATGACTAACTTTTAGATTAGCCCACTCAGATTTCCCTTTAGTACGTCAAAAGATTAAAAAAAATTGCCTAATATGTTCAGTCGTTAATCTCCAAATCTCTAAAATAAAATGCTACGTCAGCGTTGTGAAAACAGTAATGCTTTCCTCCATACACTAACCTCCAATTGTATCATACAAATGTAGATTAAATCTTAAACCTTTAATAAATCAGATGAATAAGGGAAATTATATGTTTCATATTGAAAATGGTCTCTTAGTCAATAAATGTGTCAAAAGTGAAGCACAAATTCTCATTCTTATTCCTAAACAGAAATGGTTCCATCAAAAATATTTACCTGGTAAAGTATAACCCTTTCTTTTACAAGTAATACTGAAATATCTATTAAATTGATAATAAAGAGGATGAAGTAAACATTTTAGATGCGTTAAATTTTGTTTATTTCAGTTGACGAAAGGTTAAATTTTCAGTCTGGTCAGTATAGCTCGTTTTGTGTAAGTTTTTAATAATCTACAATGAGTGACAATTTTAATTACCAATTTGTAAATATACAATTTTTCATAATTAACTATTACTGGAAGGACATTTTCTAAACGCCTTCGGAACAAGTAAGTTTTTCGTTTCGCTTTTAGCAAAAATTAAGCAGAAAATTTTTAGCAGAAAATTAAAACGGTGAGAACTCTATGCTGAAAAGTTTTTTAATGAGGGTTTAGAATTGATTGATTTCGCCAATTAGAAATTTTTGGATAAGAAATAAAGGCAAGTTATAAATTTAAGGTAATTTATATAAATTCTCAAAAGGAACCTTTATCCACTCAGCTCTTTTATTATAGCTGATAATTTTTACAGTTTTTGGAGCAAATTTTTCGTGATGGAATTACTTGGTGGTTATTATTTTTTTTTACTTTTGTATTCTAAAGAATTAAATATTTACGATAGTTTAAATAGCATTTTAAAATCTTAGGAGTACAAAGAGTTAAAATTTATAAGCTATCAACAAATATTTTCAAAAAAGCAGATAAATAATACTGTAATTTTATAATCTTTCTTTCAATATTTTACTGTGATGAAATAACTGCAGTAAAAATACAATAAATTTTTATTACTACAATAAAGTGACTGTAATGAAAATACAATGAAAAAGCAAAGAAATAGAAAGTAGAAACGGAAAAGAATAGAAGGAAAACTACTAAAAATAACAAATTTATTTTTTAAAGAAAATATTACAAAAATTAAAAACCCAGAAAACAGTACAACAAAAAGGGTTCCTTGGGGTATTCATCCACTTTTCCTTCGAGGTTAATATCTTCCTTACCTGTACTATGCATGATTCTTTATCGCCTTACGAGATCATCGCCAACAAAACCAATTATTTTTATTTTTTGAAATGCCGGATGCTATTTAGGCAAAGTATGAAATAAACGTCCTGATGAGGTTATTATGTAAATGATGTGCATGTTACTGTGAATGACCGAAATCGGTGGTTGTTGACTTTCACCGGTGAATGTTGACAATCACATAGTCGCTTTGGTGAATGTCCGAAATATTTATTACATCCGATTTGATATTAATTTATTCGTGGATATAATTACATTTATTCGATATTTTAATACTTACTGACGATAGATTAGAACAAACATCAGTGTTTGGAGTATCGGGCAAATATATACCGGGCAAGGGCCCTTGACCTTAAAAAACATCAGTGTAGGATATACCGGGCAAATATATACCGGGCAATGGCACTTAACCAGACCTAGTATGACTAGACCTTTGGTAAATGTCCGAAATATATACTAGGTCTAGTGCCACTTTTGCTATAGCATAAATATTTTAAAAAAATTAAACAGAGCGTTTGAATCAATTTGAAACTGATAACGAAATTACTGCTTTAAAATAAAAAAAATAATAATAAAAAAATAATAATAATGCGCCAGATAAGAGTAATTGAAGTAGTTGCTTTATACAGCGCATGTGCGGAAAAAATTTTTTAAAAGGATTATCCAGGTGCATCTAAAAGTGGATGAATATCCCAAGACACCAACAAAAAGATATAATTTTGTCGTCAACTCACATATCATCAAATTAGAATGCCTTCTAATAATGCATAGCCAAAGCAAAATATATTAATACAATAGTGAGAGGAATACCATAAAAATCGATACAAAAATAAAACGTATCAAGCAAAAAAAAAATACAAAATTAAGAACAGACAAAATAAAACAGAAATTCAACACAAAAAGTAACATATTATGCTATTAGCGAGATCAAACGTGAATTTACTTTCTAGCGTTTTGCAAAAATGATTTAAAAATATTTTCGTAACTAGTTCGACAGATTACAAAAGATGAAATTAAAGAGTAAATAGTGGAATATATTTTATGTCGCTCTTTAACACAAATACAAATCCGTATTTTATTTGTCAGTTTCCTTGGATTGGCCCGAAACTGGATTTGTGCCAGGTAATTATATATTATATTAGATAATGCAAAGTTTTAATAAAAGGATGAACTTTAATTACGATATTTAGAGATATTATTCAAATTTATTGGAAAAAAAATCCTTTATTAAATTTTAAGATATTTTTTGCCACGCATTTGCCAGAGTTGGATTTGCACAGGGTAACAATATCCATTTAGATAACAAACATTTTCTGAGTAAATAAATTCAATAATAATTTTAACACGCAATTAACTCAATGATTTAACATAGGATTTAATTATATTAGTTGGATATTCATTGTTTTTAATTCAATTTTGGAAGAGTTTGTCCATTTGTTTTTTCGAATAATAAATATTACTACAAATCATTTTCGTGCCATTTATTTAATTAAAAATATTATTTAAATAAATGTTTTTAGAAACATTAGAATTCCATGTAGTTTTTTACTTGATATGTTTTACTTTCGTATCGATTTTTTGATACTCCTCAAGTTATTGCTTTAATATATTTTGCTTTGGCTATATTGATATAGTATTAGAAAGCACTCTCATTTGCGGATATAATCGTGCGAGTTGACGGGTAGATTATATCTCTTAGTTTTCTGGCTTTTTTAAATTTTTTTTAAACTTTTTCAATAAATTTATTATTATCAATTTATTATCTGATAAATTTATTATTAATTTATCAGAACGCAGATTTCAGACACCAGGCTGTACGTAATTGTTATCTATTTAGTTAGCATCCAAGTGACACAAAATCGAAGTGCTCCTTAATAAAAGTTAGGGAAAATCCTACAAAATAAATCCGTAAAAATGTTTCGTTTTAGGGAAAACGGGAAAAGCGAGTAATTATAATTGGTCTGTTTAAAAGGTCGAGGGGAAAAATGTCTTTCTCACGGTTTGAAATAGGAAAATTATAAAACGTTAATTGATGCATAACTTGAAGCCAAAAATAGATTAAAAGACAGGATGCGAATATTAAAGTGAGAGAAAAAGCGCTTAGTTTAGATTAATAAATTAGGAAAAAGATTTAGATATGATCTAAGATTAGAATAACATTAAAAGATTAGTTGAAGCTTTCTTACTCTCTAAGACGATGACTAAGCTTCTTTTTCGCATTGGCTACAAAAAATTTTATCAAACGTGTGAATAGTCATAACCACAGAAGCGTAAACTTTGACGAATTTCTACACTCTTATTTACAAATTTTCTTTCTGAAAGCTGAAACTAACTGTTAAGTATAATAAATTGAGTTTTAAGTTGGAAAGATTAGATAAGTTAAAAGCGAATAGTTCATATTAACAAAGCATTAAATATACTTATGCTGGTCCAATAATAACAATTTTATTCATTGTTATTGTCGTTCAATTGAGTATCAGAGTGTCACACTTCTTGACAATGATAATGAAAGTGTGTTCGAAGAAAACGCTGTTAACTGTTATGAAAGAGCAAGGTTAGATAAAATTTGATACCAGTTCGCTAAAAATTAAGGTTGCTAAAATTTTATTCTATGAATATAAGCTTAAATGTATGCACAGTGTGCCAAATAAACGAACCACCCTGAATTACTTTTGATCTAGTAATCGGGTCTTCACGTTCTAGAACTAAATCTTAATGGTTCGAGGGGGTGACCTCAAATATGCTAATTAATTGGTGCAGACCAGGGCTCGAAAAAACTCAGAAATTTTACCCGTCCCAGAGGACGACTTGTCCAACAATGTACCCGTCCTCCTTTGAAACTAACCCGTAGCTTCTAAATAAATAAAAATACAATTTTCTCTTATTTATTACAAACATTTATATATTGCACGATGAATTAGTAGTTACTAGGATTACAAATGCTAGAGTTACAATATACAGTAATAAAAGAAATACTAGATTACTAATAGTAACCTAGTATTTCTTTTATGAAATAGTTTAAATGACAAAGGTCAATTTATCCGAGGGT